TTCAATCATTATGAAATTAAATGTCAATTATAAGGGTTTTTGTCATTTTTCATAGACCCGGGACAGGTCAAAACCGGACGCGTTTGCCCGGGACAAATTATATAATTCCGGATTGCCAGAGAAAGAATGTAGATTTTTTTCAGTCCCTGACCGAGATACATCTAAGAAATAAATTGGAAAAAATAATATAAATATGCAAATCAAAAAAGAGTCAGTTATATTTCAATTACATGTCATTATCTTATAAGTATTTCGGAAATAAAAGGTTTTTCCCGGGTGAACGTATCCGGTTTTGACCAATCCCGGGTACACAAAAAATGCGTATATTTTCAATAATCGTGATTTATTATTGCAACAGTTAAATGTTTTAGGTAGTTTAAGTTCAATTTCAAAGACCCAAATGAAATAATTGTGAATATGCTGCCGAAATTAAGTTTAAATCGCCCAAATGAGTAATCCGGGCTCGCTACCCATTTTAGTCACTTGGAAAAGGACAATCGGTGATAATCATTAAAAAAACACAACATTTTGACCTAAAACTTTCAGCGAAAGCCAATCTTAGAATAATAAACTATGTCCGTAAATTTCATGAAGAAAGAATGAGTATTTATTTCGTGATTATCAAAAACCCGGTTTTCGTTATCGAAAATCCCGGCCCGGCCCGGGTTTCGCTACCCATTTTAGTCACACTCAACAAAAACGTCTCTACTTTTACCAGAGCGAGCTTCAAAACATGGCCCGAGAGTTACCGGGGTACATAGAGATGATATCTTTGATAAAAGAGAGCAATAATTTGTAAATAATGGATTTACAATGCATTTCTTTTTTGGAAACTTGAACACACGGGTTATTTTTTCTCTCCCCCCCCCCCCCCCCCCCCAATGTTCTCTAACCAAGGGGTACTTCAACATTTTTATTTATATACATGTAAATAAGGTATTTTTCTATGACACGCTCATATTGTGTTAATTGAAGACTAAAATTTAACCTAAAACAATTTACAGTAAGTGCTCTGTAATACTTTTAAAAAAGAAATAAAGTGGAAACTTTGAGAGACGATTCGAAATCTTGGCACCTCAGTGGGAAATACTCAAAGAAAAGGAGGATAGATTAGCTACTTACCAACTGAAGACTTCAGAATTTATCAATATATTATCTAATTTTTCTTTCACTGTAATTTCAGTCTTTTTAAACCTGCAAAATAATTTTTTCAACATGTTCAATGGTCACCAAATTGATAAGAATAGGAAATCCTCTTTATCTTTTTTATTTATTTATTTATTTTTTTTTTTGAGAAACAAAATTTTGGACAAAGAAAAAAGAAAGGGTACAAGTTGTTCCTCTTAAAGCACTGTGAGGTGGAATACACAAAAGAGTTGCGAGTGTAGACTTTGTACCATGGATATTCTGATTTAATAATTTAACTATTTTGATTATTAATAATCATGTAATTTAAAAGCTTTAGGTCTTACAACTCAATTAGGCCAAAATAAAATTATAGTTTGTTTGGAATTGCCTCCCGCCTCACTGAAATACCCCCCTCCTGAAAAAGTTTTATTGACCAAAAGTAAGAAGATTTTTTTTTATTCAATCAATTTTTTTGCTCCCTTACTGTATCACATGCATCATACAAAACACTGAAATATAGTCTCAGATCTATGTAAAAATAAGGGTTTTTTAATGGTAGATGCTTTTTTTAAAGTCAGAAAAAATGTTTTAACTGTTTACTGAGATTTTTATTAAAATTTATCTTCAATTAAAAAAAAAAAAAAATAATAATTTCCCTCCCTCCCTCCTGTGTCTGAAACCCTTCAGGCAGCAATTCCAAACAAACATTTTTTTAAGGATGGCCTTATTGAATGCATTTAATCTAATCTGCCATGATGGCAACCATATTTGATATTGAGCAGTGTTGGATTATCTTAATTCTAATGGAAATCCAGGAAAAAAACAAACAAAAACCAAAGTAATAGTGTTTTTATTATGCTATGTATTGATTATCTTTCAGTAAATATCAGCAGCGACTCCCATACGACCTTCTGTCTGGCCTGGCTAGCTCCTTGCTGGATGGTACTGTGTTTGAAATCGTCCGCAGTCTACAGGAAGTCCAGCAGTTAGAGGAGAGACATCTGCACACACAGCGGGTCAAACTGGTCAATGATCACAAAGGTACTTGCATAGTAAGCTAAACTCGACAATGATTACAAAGTCAAAGTTTAGACATATGTATACATCAATGATACATGTATCTAACTCCAGGTCAATTACATTACATAAGATAAGACACATACACACAGCGAGTCCAACATCAACACAGTTGTCAAATTCATTAATTCTAAACAAACTTTTAGGTAAGACACATGTACTTAAACTCATCAATGACCACAGAAATTGGATACCCATTTACAAGTACCGTATATACTCGCCTATAAGTCGGTCCACCTATAAGTCAGTTGTATTTAATAAACTTGTATTTCAGATGGACTGACCTCATATAATACCATTCTTTTTATAGCTCGCCTATAAGTCAGAAACAGAGTTTTGGACCAGAGATTGACTCCTAAAAGACCGACTTATTGGTAACTCCAATACTTGAAGTCTTAATAATTTTGAAATTTTTAGGCAGCAAACTGTCATACTGTCTAGGCATGATTCAATTACTTACCATACTTTTGATAAGTGTATTAACGAGGCTCGGGGGTGGCAGCCATTTTTAGACTATTTCAATCTCCTTTAAAAGGAGAGCTCCATATAAAGATATAGAAATTGATCAAATTTTAAAACTAAATTCTTTGAATTTTTTCTTTGTCAAATGATAGTTCACAGCTAAAGATACCGTATCTAAAAAAATTAGTTAAATCTGGTGGTTAATTTGGGATTAATTTGTTGACCCTCCAGCCTCCTTAATAGTCTAATGAGCTAATGGACCTGGTCATGCATTGTGTAAATACCTCATTGTATAGTTAAAAGGACAGTATAGTCAAAAAGACACTTATTAATTAAAAAGTTGTTAACCTTTTAAATAAAAAATCAGGAATTTTATATTTTTTACTCTACGCCTTGTCTCCTTGACGAAGTCGAGATGAGCTTATGCTATACCCCCGGCGTCGGCGTTAGCGTCGGCGTCCCAGGTTAAAGTTTTTGGAGCAGGTCCATTCCCAAGGAACTATAATCCCTACTGGCACCAAATTTGCATGGCTGATGCATCTAGGAATGTACACTACCAGACTTGCTTCTGATGCTGGATCTGACCTACATTTTCTAGATGAGTGACCAGGTTAAAGTTTTTAGAGCAGGTATAAGTTTTTGGAGCAGGTCCATTCCCAAGGAATTATAAGCCCTACCTGGACCAAACTTGCATGGATGATGTATCTAGGGATGTACACTATCAGACTTGATTTGGATGCTGGATCTGACCTACATTTTCCAGATGAGTGACCAGGTTAAAGTTTTTGGAGCAGGTCTATTCCAAGGGAAGTATAAGCCCTAACTGGACCAAACTTGCATGGATGTTGCATCTAGGAAAGGACACTACAAAACTTACTTTGGATGCTGAATCTGACCTACATTTTTCAGATGAGTGACCAGGTTAAACTTTTTGGAGCAGGTCCATTCCACAGGAACTATAAACCCTATTTGGACCAAACTTGCATGGATGGTGCATCATGGGATGGACACTACCAGACTTGCTTCGGATGCTGGATCTGACCTACATTTTCATTCCCAACTATAAGCCCTTCCTGAACCAAACGTGCATGGATGATGTATCTAGGGATGTACACTACCAGACTTGCTTCTGATGCTGGATCTGACCTACATTTTCATTCCCAATTAACTATAAGCCCTAGCTAAACCAAACTTGCATGTATGATGTATCAAAGGATGGACACTACCAGATTGCTTTGGATGCTGGATCTGCCCTACATTTTCATTCCCAAGAAACTATAACCCTGAGCTAAACCAAACTTGCATGGATGATGCATCTAAGGATGGACACTATCAGAATTGCTTCGGATGCTGGATCTGACCTACATTTTCCATACAAAAGACCAGGTTAAAGTTTTGGGAACAGATCAATCCGAATGAACTTGAAGACCTTGATATCTGCAGTATTAACAGTTATGAATATTTATTTACACGATACATGTTTTTCATGCTACATGCATAGAAATGTGTATATGCAATGTAAGGGATTAAACACAACTTGCAAGAATATTGTTGTTGGGATGAATACTTAATATTAATAAAATATGACGTGAGATTTGCATTACTTAAACTGATAACATTTGTCGAGGTGAGCTTCGTAATCTTTGATTGCATATGTTATAATGTGTAACAGCATATCAGACATATTTCAACAGTTAAACAACTGTTTAAAAAAGTGGAAAATTATTCAATTTATAAATCAATAAAAACTGATAATTTGCTAATAAAGGATATTGGATTTTTCCATACTGGCATTTTCCATACTGGCATTTTGGCACTTCGGCCTTCAAGAATGGACTAAAACACTGGGTAAATTCCCATACACCCTTGATTGAACCCGGATAATTAATATTACAGAGGGGAAAACTGGTAAAGAATAGCATGACCAAAATTACTAGGTGAGCTATGTGGCCCATGTGCCTCTTGTTTGACAGATGCCAAGCTTGTTGTGCTGGTACATTATAAAGATTACTCCTATTGATTTTAGGGTTACAGAGTCAAAGGTCAAAAGTCAAATTACTCTCTTCCTTTAGATAAAAGACACCAACTTGGAACAAAGACATCCTTTTAGGAGTACAGTTGGTTTTAGTCGGAATCCAAGGATTTTAAAGTTGATCCTTTTAAAACTGCCACATTGGTAATATATATTTCTTAAACATTTCTTGTTTTAATTACATTTACAGCACAGAGACATGAGCTGCAAAAGAGACACAAAGAATTACTACAGAGCTGTCAGATGAAGCCTCACAATTTACCCATAGTGGAGGCCCAGATTGAGAGAGAGAAGGAGGTATAATAAATAAAAATGGATTCAGAAATGTTATTGACACTCAAGAAATATACACTGTATTGATACATATTCAACAAAAACTAGTTCTAATTGTAACGGGGACCGTTACAGATGTTCCCCAAACGCTCCCCAACTCCCTTTTTGTGCAAATTTCCTCTTAAACTTTTTTCAATATGCTTAGTATCGCAGGATTTCATAAAAGAATTTTAAAAGCTACAATGATATCAATTTTTTGTCATTTAACGCATTGTTCGTAAACGCACGTGCATGCATATGCGAGGTGATCATGACATGTTGTCTAAACCAGTAACATATCTTTATATTCCAGAAATCAATAACAAGTCATAAAAATATAAATTTTACCGTTTTTCAAACATATTGTTCATTTTACGCATTGCGTGTGCGCATGTGCATGCAAGCACATCCTTGCATTCAATTTTGATAGCAATATCATGTAGGAATCCATAATACCTATTCATATTCTAAACTTCATCCTGTTTTGTTGAGAAACAAGAAAGATATAGGCATGTAAAGTTTCAGCCAATCAGATTGCAGCACACGTGGATTTATGTGCTTTCATGATAATTCTTATATACCATGCAGTAGATCTTCATAATATGTGACTAAGTTCAAAATTTCAAAGGATTATCACGTAAAACAAGAAAGATATTGAGACTTCAGTTTCAGCCAATCAGAGCAAAGCGCACGTGCATGCGCGTAAGATCTTGCAATTTTGACCACGTCATCTTGTCCATACTACTACTATATTCATGCATTGTGAGTTTCAAAAAATTCCATCAAGAAATAGAAAAGTTACGGCTTCATCCATTATCTTGCTAATTTCACACGTTGCACGTGCAAGCTCTTGCCAACACACGCGCATGTACGAGCTTTCATGAAAATTATAATATATCATGCTGTAGATCTTCATATTGTGTGACTAAGTTCAAAATTTCAAACGATTATGACGAAAAACAAGAAAGATATTGAGACTTTAGTTTCAGCCAATCAGAGCGAAGCGCACGTGCATGCGCGTGAGATCTTGCTATTTTGACCATGTCAACACCTCTATACTACTAATATATACTTATATTATGAGTATCAAAGCATATAATCAAAAAATAGGAAAGTTACGGCTGTATCTATTATTTTGGTCATTTCACGCGTTGCACGTGCGCGCTCTTGCAAGCACGTGCGCGCAAAATGACCTTCGTTCCGCAATTCTACATAACATGCCTACTGACCCTAAAAAGGTTTCACCTAAGTCGGACGTGTAGTTTACAAGATCATTCGCGGAAAAGATTTTCCCAGGAAGAAGAAAAATAATAATAATAATAATAATAACTAGTGCTAATTGTAACGGGGACCGTTACAGATGTTCCCCAAACGCTCCCCAACTCCCTTTTTGTGCATAATTCCTGTAAGACATTTTTAAAATATGATCAGTATCGAAGGATTTCTTCAAAGAATTATAAAAGCTACAATGATATCAACTATGTATCATTTAACGCACTGTACGCGCAAGCACGTGCATGCACATGCAAGATGATCATGGCATATTGTCTAAACTATTAACATATCTATATTTTTTGAGAATGAATAAAAGAAATCTTTAAAATGTACATGCTACTGTTTTTCAAATATATTGGTCATTTTGCATATTTCGCGTGCGCACGTGCATGCATGCATGTTCCGGGCATTTAATTATGATAGAACTATAATGTAGGAATCCATTATACCTAATCATATTCTAAATTTCATTCCGTTTTGTTGAAAACTAAGAAAGTTATAGGCATTTAATGTTTCAGCCAATCAGATTGCAGCACACATGCATGCGCATGCTTTCATGGCAATTCTTATATATCATGCTGTAGATCTTCATTATGTATAAGCATGTTGAAAATTTCAAAGGATTCTGTCGGAAAACAAGAAAGATATTGAGACTTTAGTTTCAGCCAATCAAAGAGAAGTGCACGTGCATGCGCGTGAGATCTTGCTATTTTGACCATGCCCTCTTGTCTATGCGTATAATGTATCCTTATATTATGAGTTTCAAAGCATTTCATAAAAAAATTAAAAGTTACGTCTATATCAAATATATTGGACATTTCTCGTGTTGCACGTGCGCGCTCTTGCAAGCACACGTGCATGCGCATGCTTTTATGAAAATTTTTATATATCAGGCTGTAGATCTCCCTAATATATGACTATGTTCAAAATTTCAAAACATTCTGTCGAAAAACAAGAAAGATATTGAGACTTTAGTTTCAGCCAATCAGAGCGAAGCGCACGTGCATGCGCGTGAGATCTTGTTATTTTTACCATGTCATCTTGTGAACACTACTAATATATCCTTTCATTGTGAGTTTCAAAACATTTCATCAAAAAATAGAAAAGTTATGGCTATATCAATTATATTGGTCATTTCACGTGTTGCACGTGCGCGCTCTTGCAAGCACGTGCGTGCAAAATGACCTTCGTTCGGCAAATCTACATAACATGTCTACTGACCCTAAAAACATTTCACCTTAGTCGGATGTATAGTTTACGAGATCATTCGCGGACAAAAAAGTGCCCAGGAAGAAGAAAAATAATAATAATAAGAAACAGAGTAAAAACAATATGTTCCCCAACTTCGTTTGGGGAACATAATAAGAAACAGAGTAAAAACAATATGTTCCCCAACTTCGTTTGGGGAACATAATAACTATACACTGCTTGAGAAGGTCTAGGTCTTCATGATTATTTTGTATACATCCCAGTCTTACAAAACAGATTAAATTTTATTTAGCTTTCTATATATAATTATATATAGCTGCAGATCTTTAGTTCATTGGTCTAAAAAGAATGAAATGTATGAGAGGGCTAGTACCAGTCATAGAAAAAAAACTATCATATTTATAGAGCACAACAATTTGCCCCTTATCTGGAATAATATTTATTAATTCCTACATGTATACTTCAACTGCTGCAAAGCTTGAATTTCAAAAAGTCCTAAGACATACAAATATTGCCACCCAAAATGACATAACTTATATAAAATTAGAATGTTTCATTGTGGAAATAGTAAAAGAATATGTTTTGAACAAATGATTATGTGTATTTTGACCTTGCAGTTTGAAGAACACATAGAAATCAACTGAGATACAGGGCAGTTTTTAGATGCAAATTTTTTTCACTTATTCAGTGGATGGCACTGTAGCCGTCTGAGAGATTGTATTTGCTGACAAGCTCATTGTTTTGGCCATAGAACTTATTAAATAATGACATTAAACAAGACTCTTGATATTCTTGCTACATCAACTTGTTTGTCAATTACTTACATTATTTTAGAAATTATTCATACCTAGAGTATGCTCTTCCATATCGAATCAACGAAGAGATAACTCCATATGCACAAGGGTAGATTGTTGCAGAAGTAAGGGAAGTTGATGATTGAAACAGTTAAGTCTTCACAGAGCTTGGTTGTTACATAACCATTAATATTTTTTTTCTAGTAAAATAGCTTATTTTCTTTTCCAATTGACAAATAAATGAAGTCAATCTGCAAATGATTGATTAGATTTTTGACTTAAGCATCTTATTCTTCAGAAGAATCTACTTCTGCTTTTTTCAGACAATGGAGAAGAGGTGTGAAGAAGAGGTGAAGAAGAAGGACATGAAGATTATCATGGAACTGGATCAGAAAGTTATGGACCAGCAGGTCATGTTGGAGAAGGCGGGAGTTCCGGGGTTCTATGTCACCAACAAGAGTATTGACGTCAGACTACAGATGTATCTCCTGGAATTTATCACCAGAATGGGACACATGCAGCCACCTTGAAGCTGAGCATTAGGTGGTAGTTGTTTTGATTAAAGTCAAGAAATCTTTCTGTTGATTTAGAAAAAAAACAGAGATTGATGAATTTATTCAAGTTGTTCTCCCTAAGACTTAAGAAAATGGATGTTTTTACATGGGAATAAAATGGACAAAAACAATTGTTAAACATATGAACATGCATGATTGTACATGTTATAGCACACAGGCATCTTGTTTAAAGTGTTCTTCTGTAAAATCAAACTTTCGTTAGAATAAATTGTCATGGCCTGAGAATACTAGTATTTAAGGGTAAATAATGATTTCAGGAGGAATTGATTTTTTCGTAACAAGATTTCTAAAAATGTAATTCATGAGAAAATTACATTACATTTCATGATTAACTTAATTTTGCGAATCTATTCATATATGTCATCGAAAACAAGACAAATTAATTCCTCATGAAAAATTATGGATTTCTCAGTAATAACAAAACAAAAATATCCGAAGTGAAATATAATGTGTTAGCAGCATTTTGAGCATTTGAAAACTTACTAGTAATCATCAAGAGACATATGATATCGAAGAAAAAGTGCATGTTTGTGTCCTTAATATTAAAAACACATTGTATGGTTTATTAGTTGAGATTCCAGGGTTGTGGTTAACCACTCGCCCACTCGCCAAATTTCAAGTGGGTGATGAAGAAATCAAAATTTGATCGCCCACATGGCGAGCGTCTTGTTCCCAGAACATGACCGTGCTTTGCTTGTATTTTTATAATCCACTTCCTTTTTTTCTTAACAAACACTATGCTAACCATGACTTTTGGTGTCGTGTGCAAACTATTACATTTGTATACAATGCAAGCACTTGCTTGACCTAGACGTATGCCAAGCAGCATTTTCAAATATTCTGTTGATGAGGTATGTGGGACCGTAAATCACATTGTGGGCCCCTAAACTTTGAAAAGTCCACATGGCTCCTAGGATGTAAATGGTTAACCACAACCTTGGAGATACTAGTATATTTTTTCATAATATTGTACACTGTCCATATTTTACATGTAAATATATGTTAGATGAACATAATCTATTATGAATTTATAATGTAATGAAATTTCAGATTCTGCTGTTGTACTTCTTCCATCATGCTGAGTGCAAAGAATGTAAGAAATTTTGGTTGAAATGAATGAATTTTACCAATTGATTAATATCCTGTAAATTTGAAATTTTCATTAGATAAATGTTAAGTGTTACCTACATGTAATATGCTATTGTAAAAATTGTGTTTACCTCTACCAGATGAGGTGCACAAAACATTGTAATAATTGTTGACACAAGCATCAAATTAATAAGTTTTTTTTAATATACATGTATGTTGATGTTATTTCTACACAAATTCATTTTATATAAAAATTGTCATCAAAATTAAATTATTCATAAAATAAAGACTGACAAAATAGTACAGTATGATTGTTTTAATGCAAAAAGTATCTACAAAGGAGTCATTGCAATTTCTTTCTGGAATATAAAGCATTTGATTACACGCATGCACTATAATATTATGCAAAATCAATATATTTTCAAGCCTGTTCATTAATCACCCGAAAATGAAACACTTTATTTATTAACTTTTCAGCTCACCTGAGCCAAAGGCTCAAGTGAGCTTTTCTGATCACAATTTGTCCGTTGTCTGTCATCGTCATCGTTGTTGTCGTCGTTTTAAATTTTTCACATTTTCGACTTCTTCTCAAGAACCTCTGGGCCAATTTCAACCAAATTTGCCACAAAGCATCCTTGGGTAAAGGGGATTCAAGTTTGTTCAAATGAAGGGCCAGGCCCTCATTCAAGGGGAGATAATTGGGAATTAATGAAAATTTGATGGTATGTTTTAAAAATCTTCTTCTCAAGAACCACTGAGCCAGGAAAGATGAAACTTATGGGGAAACATCCTCAGGTAGTGTAGATTCAAGTTTGTTCAAATCATGACGCCCGGGGGAAGGGCGGGGCCACAATGGCCGACCAAAGTTTTACATAGAAATATATAGGAAATTTCTTTAAAAATCTTCTTCTCAAGAATAACAAAGCCCTAATTGATCATATTTATATGAATGCATCATCAGGTAGTGAAGATTCAAGTTTGTTCAAATCATGACCCCCGGGGTAGGGCGGGGCCACAATGGCCGACCAAAGTTTTACATAGAAATATGTAGGAATTTTTTTAAAAAATCTTCTTCTCAAGAATAACAAAGCCCTAATTGATCATATTTATATGAAAGCATCCTCAGGTAGTGTAGATTCAAGTTTGTTCAAATCATGACCCCCGGGGTCGGCCCACAATGGCCGACCAAAGTTTTTCATAGACATATACATGTATAGGAAAATTCTTTAAAAATCATCTTATCAAGAATAGCAAAGCCAGGATTGGTATTGGGACTACTTTTGGATTTAAATTATTAAATAATAAACCAATTTCTACTTTTTCCTAGCCACAGTGCTCAGGTGAGCGATGTGGCCCATGGGCCTCTTGTTTTTTTTTAGTTATAACATGTAAAGTATAAGATATAAAGTTTAATAAACAAGAAATCATGTTGTTGCCAAAAATTATCATTTTACAGCAAGTTCCAGTTCGTAGGCACATTGTACTCTTGTTTCATATACCGGGTATATAATTTCAAAGAAACCGTTTATCAACAGATACATAAGTAGGCTGAAAAAAAAATTAAACGATATTAATAAAAAATGATTTTTTCAAACCTTTGTTAAAATCTATAATTAACTTCTTAAACATTTAATAAACAATAAATGTATTAGTACAAGAGATGAAGAAAGGGTCAAGTTAAAATGCACATGAAGTACTGCAAATAAAGGTTCTGTAAAAATATGTATGTAAAGGTAAAAAAAAAATACTTTCTTGTTATTACTCCAATACCTATGTCTTCACCAAGGAGAGGTCAACGAAGGGTCATATTAGACCATGTTAAGATTGTCCAGTTTTTAATCACTAGGAAATGAAAATGTACATACTTTTATTCGACAATAATAATTACGAACGAATTCTACGTTGCTGTAAAGAATGTTCAGTGTTATCCACTTTTCTGAATTTTAGAGACACTAAATCTGCTGTAGCTTTACTGATCCAATGGACTCTGCCTGCTCTGATTCTTCAATGATTCTCCTAAAAAAAATTAAAATATTCAAAGGGAAGGATATCTGAGATAATATCAGAAATAATAAGTAAATAATAGTAGATGACATTGGTAAGATGCAAATTGCAGTTTCTTCATTCTGATAAAAAGTATTTTTAAGTATATTTATATTTTTTTAAATTTAATTTTGTAAATGGCTCACCGTGTACCAATAATACAACAGATCATCACGAACTATTTCGTGTTTCTCGTGATTTTTGCGGGACAAATTATTAGGGCAAATTCTTTTATTTGTTGTCAGTTCAGCCACTTCTTCCTCACTTAAGAAACAATCCTCATCTTCTTCAGTTATATCTATGTCTCTACAAGGGTATCCAACTTCATAGAGAACTTGTTGATGGAATGTAGATGTTATGCTATTCATCATTTTTTCAATTGTTGCTCTGATTTCTTTAGTTTTGTCATTTGTAAGCTGGATTGTTTTATCTGGGGTATACACTTGCAACTGAATGGATGTTTTGTTCACTGCAATAGCAATGTTTCGGTCACCACCTTTGTCTTTGTAAAAAGCAACATTTTTGCATACTAGGTCATCACGCAAGGGTTCCCACATAGAAAAGCACAATGCTACCAGTCTAAAGAAAAAGAAATGTGGGATGAACGTTTTGAAACAAAATACTAAAACGGGAGTTTTGTTGACATCTTCCGTAATTCTACATTCTTTCCTGAATTCAGTTTTATTGATGCTAGGAATGTAGTAATCAGGTATCATATTCTCCTCTCTTGCATTTCTTTCTGTTCGCACTATAGCAAGAATGCCAAGTTTCTCCATATAGGGTATGATTATGTCTTTTTGAGCAATATACGAAGATTTTTTTCCCCATACCTTGACAAGTGCTAGATCAGAAATCCTGCCAGTATTCATGAATATCTCCCATTCCTTGACCCTTTCGCAAAAGGGTTCAGCATGAGTTGGGTCAGTAATGATATTTTTAAATGCATCTACAAACCACTGGACGTCAATGATGATATTTTCTCTTAGACCCTTTTCTGCAAAATAAATACTTAGACCAATCTCTTTAAAATATCTAAGCATATCGTCTACCTCCAATTCATCTAATGATTTAAATTCCTTCTTCCTTAAGAGTTCTTTTCTGCTTAGAATTTCCATCTTCTTCTCCTTGTTTTCTCTAATAAATTTCTCAAACATTGACCATGTTAATGGAATTTTTTCACCCCAATGCGAAAGGCTTCGTGCAGTGCGAACAATACATTTTCTGACATTTTCGATTCTCTCTTCTTGATATTCATTCAAATCTCCCTGGGGACATTCAATTTCATAATAGCGTGATGTCGAAATGAGACCTTTCAGCGTATGCTCTTCTGGTAAACACTTCTCTAATTTCGTATAAAAAGATTGATCTCTTTCTATTCCTGGCCTATTCTGCAATAATAAATAAATGACAATTCATCAAACAATGTAAAGCAGTCTTTAAGCAATCCCAGATTTTAGTGGGTTGATCATTAAGTTGTATAATAAATGCTATAATTTTGTACCCGTGTCACATTAAAATCTACGTCTATTTGAGATATTTATATTCGAACCCGCAAACAAATTCTATTTCCCTGTGGTGAGCCTCCGTTTTCACTATGTACGTATTTAATCTTTTAAGGCTTCAAATCACTGGACCTTGAAAGTACGTTTGAGTCTGTGTGGCAGTTGGATAGAGAAGGTCTGTAGAGATTTTTGGTAAACATTTTTGCAATAGAATAGTCATGACAGACTTCATCGTAGTTTAGCTCATATTGCCAATATGTATCACTACTAAGTCAGAAACGTACTGACATTCCCATTTTTTACTGAAAAACTTAGAAAATTACTGACAATGTGCTGTCGTTACTGTAAAACTTAGACAATTACTGACCTTTTTACTGCCGGTACTGATAAACTTAGAAAAGTGCTGACAATCTTAGTCGGTGCTGAAAAACTTAGACAATTACTGACCCGTTTACTGTCCCTGCTGAAAAACTTAGACAAGTGCTGACATTTACTGATAATTACTGTCCCTATTGTTCTCGCTGTCGGGGAGGCTGCAGTGGTGTGAAAATGACTGTGTGTTATACTTTGCATTTAAAAACAGTCTTATTTTAATTTTTGATGAAAAAAAATTCCAGGCAGTTATCATTTTTTTAATCTAAATATTATTGATATCTGTAAAATAATTCAGAATATGATTTGAAATTAACTATGAGTAAATCAAGTTTAAATTTATGTGTTGAATATATCTATCCCTGTTCAATTAAAGAATTAAAATTAATTAATCATCAAGTTAGTTTTCATCTATTTATTTCTTTGCAGACAGATATCTGACTTTAATGTTGAGCCCCCCCCCCCCTCCTGTTTTCACGATCGGAAAGTTGTATCAATTTTCTTTTCACAAACAGGACAGATGTCTCTTGTTAAAAAAGGAAATCTTCTAAATATTGAATAATTACTGATAGGTAATTCAGTTTCCTAATGTTCTCGGACATCTGTACAAGTCATATAATTATTTAACCCTGTTTAAGATTTCCGGTTTCATTTGCTCATACGGGAGTTCCCCTATTGAACAGTACAGTGTTCCATATATAAACTTGTACTATGCCTTGTTAATTTTGTCACTTTAAACATTATTTCTAAATGAATGGTTGGTTGATCGATTACGCAGGGTTCATAAGTACCCAATGTCTGTAAGTCCGAGACTAATAAATAATTATCAGACTAGTAATAAAAATTCATGTACTAGCAATTATAGTAATCTTACGGAAAATATTTATATTTACTAGGTCAGCGGTTAGACTAATATTAGCAGTAGCACCATTCTCAAATATTTTTCTTTCTCTCTCTCCTCTCTCTCTCTCTCTCTCTTAAAGATACAAACAGTATTGACACTTGTAGTTACTTAAATACTTGACAGGTGCTCCGTTTATTCACATTGCCGAGGGGGTTAGATCACTATTTAGTTTGTAAACTTAATCTTTAAGTATTTTTTAATCATGATTCAATTTTAACAAAAATATTACATGTTTCGTACCTTCCATTTTTCCCCTGTAGCTATCGGTGAATTGGAATTAATTTAATTTTATGTGCCGAAATTAAATTTTATCTCATTAAAGTAGGTAGGCGTAGGGGGTGTTATGATGTTAACAAAATAATAAGGCAGAATGCGGACTTGTCTAGTAAAATATTTTACGAAGTAATGAAAATTGGAAGTCATTAGTCCGTCAAACCAGTGCTCACAAATATTTATTTCGAACTCTCTAGCATACATGTATAAGTCCCCCCCCCTCCCCCATGTACACACGTTACATGAAAAAAAAATCTAGTATGTATACCGGTACTTGAATATGATTTATAAAAATGTGTAAGTTTTTTGAATGATGCAAATTTCTTTGTCCATTTGATCAATTTATATCCGTCCCGTAATCATTATTTATTTGATTCAGATTTCATTAACATCTTTCCTTTTCATAAGATTAGATTATTCGCTAACTGTAGTTTCCCACTACATGTATCTTCCGTGACGAGTTACCATTCATCTCTCTCTCTCTCCTCTCTCTCTCTCTCTCTCTCTCTCTCTCTCTCTCTCTCTCTCTCCAAAAAATCAATATTGACCCAATAAAGTTTAAAATACATGTATAGTAAAACTCCGGCTGATTTTTTTTACTTTCATAATACTGCTGCATATAAATTGTGTTTGATTTTTAATTATTCTTAATTACTGATAAAAAGTTAAGGAAATATGCTATGAACTATTTTTATTTGATTGATAATCAAACAAATTCCTCACTACATTGTCCCACACACACACTAACACGACTTAACAAAAAATATTAGGAACCAGTAATTTTTACAAAACTTTGGATGTATAAATGTACCCCTTCTCATAAATTTATTTTTGCTTAAATCTTTAAACAATTTGTACCTTTCCCCGGTTGGTTTTTACATCAATCTTCTTTTTCATTAATCGTTAATTTTATCTTACGTCAGTATATTAAAAAAAAAATATTTATTTAATGTAAGAAGAGGTTGAAGGATTGTAGATTGCATATTTATATTACGTATGTGTTGGTGTTGCATTTCTCAAATTCAAACTGTCTTGAAGAAGAGTCTACCTGTCGCCGTAATGTTGCGTAACTAACTTCCAGTGAAATCTGGCGAGTGTTCTTCTGTATAATGCAGCAGTGACACCTATTGTCTTCTTTACCCGCTATCGTACACACTCGGATCGCCTCAGGCGATTTCTTCTACACACAGGTGCTTCACAGAGTTTCCGATTGTATGTTGAATGATTATGTAATTCGGCTGGATACCAGCTAAACGACTTGAATAATTTGGGACGAATAAAAAGCACTGTAAAATCATGATACTGGTTTCAATACCGAACAAAGCTATGAAACGTCGATTTATTAAGTTAATTAAATTTATTAATTTTTTGTACCTAAACAGATAAAAAGGAGTACAAACTTAAACACGACAGTATTAATTGTGTAACTGTTCTACTTTAATAAGATAAATAAGTACATGTTCATCGTTCTTCAATTAGTTCGCACGTGCCCCCCCCCCCCATTTTAATTGGAAAAGACAAAAAGAAACTAGATCCATGTGAACGTCTACCGACACTCTAAATGAAAAGAACATTGATATTAATTTCTATCAAAGTTTTGTTTCAGGAGTATGCATAAACAAAAGATGATAATATAAAATGTCATAGTTTTTCATTTATTTGAATAAAAAAAATAACACTTTCAGGTGGGGATCCAGAAAATCCAGATTCGAAAATCAGTTAAAAGATGTTAGTACATTATTTCAAAAGAATAATGCGGACAGTAACTAAATCAATGAATGTCAAAGGATCAGTGATCAATGCAGGCCCGTAGCCCCGCTCCCCCTGCCAAATGAATAAAATAAAAAGTCTTTTTTTTTTAATTTAAATCCCTCGTCTGTCTTTTATTTTTGGTTTCTTCTTGCAAATGCTTGGATTCGGGTATGTTTGACTGCACAAAAACAAATATGGGCGGCCTCCACATAATTAAAAATTTTAAATAATATGAAAACTATAACAAACGCCTTTCCTCAAAAGGGGGCACACACGGCCTCACCGCGCGCTATGAGTTTATTAAAATTATTCAAACTAATTTGAATAAATTAAATTAAAATTGAATAAAACACATCTAACCTAACAGTTTATTTCTTTAAATTGATATTAAAGAAAGTCAGGGAGTCATTGTTAATTAAGAAAATATCATAAAATGCATGTCATGTAATAACATTGTTTTATTATGAAAAGGAAAAGACCTCTGTAAAATTTCATATCTCACTGCTAAAGGAAGATTTTTATTTTTTTTAATTGCTTATCTTTTTGAAGGTTTTGAAATTTTATCCCTTCTCTTAAAAATAATTTTTTACAAATCAATTTTCTTTAAATAGATCAAAGAAGCTTTTTTTTTCCAAACATATCATCTGGACACAGTTAAAAATTATATGAAAAAACAAATAAATGAAGTAATAATCTATGTTAAAATTAAAAAAAATCAATTTCACACCACTGCAGCCTCTCCGAGAGCGAGAACAATAGGGACAGTAATTATCAGTAAATATCAGCACTTGTCTAAGTTTTTCAGCAGGGACAGTAAACGGGTCAGTAATTGTCTAAGTTTTTCAGCACCGACTAAGATTGTCAGCACTTTTCTAAGTTTATCAGTACCGGCAGTAAAAAGGTCAGTAATTGTCTAAGTTTTACAGTAACGACAGCACATTGTCAGTAATTTTCTAAGTTTGTCAGTAAAAAATGGGAATGTCAGTACGTTTTTGACTTAGTAGTGTATGGTCTTACTTATGTGTATGGTCTTACTTTTCTGAGGTAAGCCTTGTTTTTATTGTTCATTAATTCATAAATGCTGTAAATACCTTTAAACAACCAGTTTCGGAATTTCTAAACATAGTCAGCATTAACTGTTTTGCTATTTGAGATTCATTATACCCCCCGCTTTACCCCCCGCTTGAAAAGCGGGAGGGTATATAGTAATCGGTATTTCCGTCCGTCTGTCCTTCCGTCTGTCCGTCCGGATAAACGATATTTATGAGAATGTAGACCAGAAATATTATTCTCTAAAAATTATCCCACAGTGTAAGCATTCATTATTTGAGGACAAGAATTATTCATTCTTCCTCACGATGAAGGAGTCACACACAAACGCCCCCCCCCCCCCCCCCCCCAAAAAAAAGAAAAAACACAAAACATGACTGACATGCGGTTGATCCACACCCCCCCCCCTAAAAAAAACAACAACAAAAAAAAACAACAAACAAACAAACAAACAAAAAGAATAAAAGCGTGAATAATCTAATACATTTAATCTCGGAAAAGTTTCCAAACGAATAAATTAAAATGAAATCGCAGAAGTAGTAAATGATCATGATGTGAAGGACAGAATATCTTCTAGATTTGATTTTAAGAAG